CTAACCCTATTCGACTGTGGATTTTATTCAATTTCGTCTTTTTTTATGTGACTCGGACGTTTGACTCGGGCTTGGAATTGACTCGGACTCGGATTCGACTTGGTAAATGAATTTACTCGCATTCGACAGCTAAAAGCCTGATCTTTATTGGTATGAAAGAATTAAAAGGATAAACGTAATATAAAATGAACGATAAAGTTGGACTACATTTTATTTATACACCCTGAAAATCTACTATTTCTATGCATGGGCGATACATACCTGCTTCAAGTGTGGTTTGCAGGAGTACATCCGAGTAGGGCCCATATCCCAGAGCCACAACCCCCCGTATTTTAACTCTATATTCTCGGTACGGAAGTAAGCCATTGATCTCAACCTCAGTGAGATTACTGCCCGCAGATACCAGGGAGCAACCCGAGTCTGTAGGAGTACTTGATCTCTGGTAGCAGATTTGGTAGTAAGAGATATCGCCTGTGTAATTATCTGTCATTGGGACTGTCCAGCTAAGTTTTAATGTTTCAGAGCTTGTAGCAACAACACTGGTTAAATTTGGCGCACTTTCGAGGTCTAGAAAGGGAAAAAGACGTTTAATTAAACGCACAGCTGATTAACTGTATAAAATAGATTATGTAATAGTTATTTTCATAACAATCAACTGTAAAAAATCTCAAATCTTGTAGCAAGCCTGCCAACAAGCCGTCAACAAGTATGTCATAGGCTTGTTGTTCCAAATTGTCAACAAGTATGGAACAACTTGTTAATAGTTGTAACAACCTTGCTTATATTATCAGACTTCAACCAAAGTTGTTCCAACAAGTCCGATACAGTCATGAAATAACAATATTGTTACAACCTTGTGTCGTCAACCTTGTAACATTCTTGTTATATCAGATTTGTTAGAACAACCTTGTAACAAATCTGATGATGCCATCAAGCTTGTTACAAGTTGTTAACAGCTTGTTCCACATTTGTTTCAACAACTGGGAACAAGCAGTGCGAACACAACACGCGTAAAAATCTAATATCTTATAACAAGTCCGTCAACAAGTTGTGTTCGCACTGCTTGTCCCAAGTTGTCAACAAGTTTGGAACAAGCTGTTAGCAACTTGTAACAACCTTGTTGACATCATTAGACTTGTTGCAAGGTTGTTCCAACAAATCTGATACAGTCATGATATAACAATATTGTTACAACCTTGTGTCGTCAACCTTGTAACATTCTTGTTATATCATGACAGCATCAGGCTTGTTAGAACATTCTTGTAATAAGTCTGATAATGCCATCAAGCTTGTTACAAGTTGTTAACAGCTTGTTCCAGACTTGTTTCAACAACTGTCGACAGCTTGTGAATAGATTTGTAACAAATTGTGCGTTTTTACATGCGCAGATAAAAGCACATAACTCACCTTTAGGTAGTAGTATATGGGTCTTTATCACGGCCGGCCCCCTTTTGGCATCGGACTTTAATGACGTCACCCAAGGCATGCTTCCAAAGCCATAGAGACATATCATACTCCATGACTCGTGTTTGGTGTAACTCGATGGAGCGTTAGGGCATGCTGATAGGAAAGCGTTCTCTGGGAAGCGGTCGAGATTGGCTTGGTGATACACGACCATGAGAATGATGGAAGGTTTAGGAACGGTTGATAAGAATTCCGCCATTTGTGTGCTTGAGCTAGGATAACGAAGAGTGTTGAACGAACGTTGCATCACTTGGGAACCTAAGGTCAATATAAAGATTTAGTATCAACGCAGTGACTAAAACATTGCGAACTACACACGTAGAAATGCAGTAACGCACAAGTTGTTACAGGTCTGCAAACAAGTTGTTACAAAGCTGTTCACAAGCTGTCGACAAGTTGTGTTCGCACTGCTTGTTTCTAATTGTTGTAACAAGTTTGGAGCAATTTCCTAGTTGTTGTAACAAGTTTGGAGCAATTTCCTAGTTGTTGTAACAAGTTTGGAACAACTTGTAGCAAGCTTGATGGCATTATCAGACTTGTCACAAGGTTGTTCTAACAAAGTCTGATACAGCCATGATATAACAAGAATATTACAAGGTTGCAACAATATTGTTATTTTTCATGCTTGTATCAGACTTGTTGGAACAACCTTGCAACAAGTCTGATAATATCAACAAGGTAATTGTTACAAGTTGTTAACAACTTCAGTGTTGCAAACTTTTTTACAACTTGGGATAAGTGGCTAACTTGCTACAAGATGTGAGATTTTTGCGTGTGTATAAAGGGCACTTGGAGCGGAGTAAATATCTTAAATTATGTATAGTTTCTCTGCTTGGCAAGGCAAATTTAACGTTTGCTAATTTCGCATCCAATTTTCATGAAAGTAGAAGGAACACCGCCTGTCTATACTGTTCTAATCACAAGGGATCGCTCATTATCTTGATCATTTTCCGATTTGTCAGGAGGCAAATTGTGTCTCCAAAGAAAGTACATGTGCAGACAACATGAAACTTTAGACTGCAGAAAATTGCACAAGCAGTTATCAAACTCATGTCACATACATGTGTGACAACTGAATGGTATCCTTTTATAAAGTTTTTAGCCAGGGGTGGGTACTCATTTCTAATCGATATTTAGATACAATAATAGTCCTGTTTCTGATTGATAAGCACCAGTTACCTGTTTTAGGATGAAGAACAATAAAATTAAATCCATGTCGAACAAAGTTGTGTTGTTGTCCTCCAACTGTGATACTGGAATAAGGTTGAGCGTCAAGTCGATATGAAACATCTGGCCCAATACGGGATACCAGTTCAACATAAATCTTGCGGCTATCTGCGAAAATATAAAATAAGAAATAACGAATTTTATTATTATGAAAACTTTATTTAAAGACGAAATTCATTCACAAGATGTGATTAAAAATTATTAGAACGATAGCTAAAATGTAGGGAAATTTACGAAAACATTAATAGGGAAAAGTGTAACGAACAACGGTAGTTAAACACAAAATAACATGACAAATATGATGTCCGGGAAAATTTTTTTCATGCTGAGATGCCGCTAAAATATCCCTTGATAACTCGGCAAAATTTACTTACATCCCCCCCCCCCCCATTGAAAAGGGTCTAGCGCTGCCCCTGACAATAATCAATACTGTATAGTCTAAAACTATATTGTTAATTTCACATTTTTCCAGAATTAATAATTTCCCCTCAGAAATAATCAATAAGTGTACCAGGTGATCTCGTGTTCGTATTTTAGCCAATCAGCGCTCAGAAAGGGTTGTCCGAATAGAAATCCATTTTGATGTATTCAGACAATTATATCTTTCATTATTCTTTATGAAACTAGTTGAAATTTTGTAATTATGTTTGGTTATGAGAACTATTATAGCTCTGACAAAATATGGAATCGAAATAAAGTATATTACAGGAGATATTCAGTTGTTTTAATCATAAAATGGATTTCTATTTGACAACTAGTGCCAGTATTTTTCCGCGTATCAAGATCACCTGGTAGACGTCTTAGTTCTTTTAAAACCGATCTGTTGTTACAGACCTGCTTTACAGACTTGCAAACAAGTTGTAACAACGTTGTTGTCACGTCTATTCATTTTAAATTCCTTGTCATTTTTAAAGCCTTGACCTCAACACGGACATCACACGGAAAATGGTTTAACTAACTTTGGCGGCGTTTTGCATCATTGCACTCGTGTAAGGAAGCAAAAAACTTTGCTATAAATAAAAAATCCTATGTTTTGTCATATGTGTTGAAGATTACCACAAACTGACACAAACACAATTTTTAATCCAGTCCTCCCTCAGCAATCTGACGTCCATGTTGATAAAAACGTCGCTTGCGCTCCCTATACACGGTGTATAAAAAAAAACTGAACAGATTTGAAATTGCTCTCAATTTCGAAAAACAGCTATTTGTATCCGGTTTTTTATGTATATAGCTTCTTTGGGTACTTATAATGTAGAATAATGAGAAAAATTTCTCAAACTCAAATTTTGTGGACCAGGGGGGGGTGTCTTTTCCAACAAACTAAAAATGGCTCGCGCACAAACTTTAAAAGCTGTAATCATATTTTGAGTTTATAGATGGAAACTTGGTCGGGTTTTTAATTACTGTACAAAATTTCAGACAATTTGGTTTAGTTTAAGCCCTTTAACTATCTATTTTATTCTAAAAAATCAGCTTTTCGCATGCTTAATTTAATGCCTTTACCTAATTTGCATATTGCTGACATATGCACGTTAGGCAAATGCATTAATTAAGCATGCGAAAAGCTGATTTTTAGGAAAAATGTAACTTTGCGTGGATAGTTAAAGGGCTTAAACTAAACCAAATTTTCTGAAATTTTGGACAGTAATTAAAAACCCGACAAATTGTCCATCCATTAACTCAAAATATGATTACAACTTTTAAATTTTGTGCGCGAGCCATTTTTAGTTTGTTGGAAAAGACACACCCCCCTGGTTCACAAAATTTGAGTTTGAGAAATTTTTTTCATTATTCTACATTATAAGTACCCAAAGAAGCTATATATATAAAAACGGATACAAATAGGTGTTTTGCAAAATTGAGAGCCATTTCAAACCTGTTCAGTTTTTTTTATACACTCTGTAGAACAGAGTTTTACATACAGATACATAACCAACAGATGCTAACCATTCTTCATGGTAGCAACATGAACTGCAGTTTCCGGACCAAACCCAGCAAACGAATGTGCCTTCACACTCACGACATAATCAGTCTGAGGCCTCAAACCCGTCATGGTATACGAAGTAGCATCACCAACACTTTCGCAATTTTTATCTACAGTATCATGTACCATGCTATCATTGACGAGGGTACTGTTAGAGACGGTACTATTCACCATAACCAAGCTACTGTTAACCATTGTGGATGCATTAACGACGCTACCATCAGCCATGCTACCAGGCTCGCTCACACATACTGTGTATTTCAGGGGGAGTTCATTTTCAGTGACAATATCCGGGGGGCGTGACCATCTTATTGTGAATGAAGATGACGTCAGATCTACAACGACGATTGAGGATGATGGCAGAGCAGGTGGAACTATGGGAAAACCAAGAATATTAGATTAGATAAACTGAAAGCTATCCGGTAAAACGTAGGCTAAACTGACTATATTACTACTCCAGTAGGCGCCTTGTTTGTCGAGCGTTACAAGTGCTACTGCAGACTGCAGAAAGAGACCTAAACTTAACTAAACTAAGTATTATTTAAAGCACAAGCAGGAGTGCTTTATCAGATATAAAACTCGAGAGCGCAGCTCGAGTGTTTTATATCTGATAAAGCAACGGACTGCGGGTGTTTTAAATGGCTTATAAAACGACCCATCTTATGAGTTCATTGGCGTAGTAATTCTAAAAATAAACGTTGTCTTAGCCGAGAAAATCAAAGCTAAAGTTTATGTAAATGAACATGATTCTTTATCACATAGAAAACTACGGACACGGCAGTAATTTCCTTTGACTTTTCTTCATGAATTATTAACTTATTTTAAAACTGGATAGCTCCATCATTTCCGTGTTATAACTGTTTTTTTACTGGAGGTCTGGTGAGGACCATTCCTAGGCCACACGCCTGTTCGCAGGCCATGGCTTACCTGACAGTTTTGGTATAACGTCTTCAATGATCGCGGGCGAATGTCCAGTATTCTTCGTGACTGAGTTCCTCCACGATGGACTTGGTAATATCCCTTTGTATCCTAGCAATGTCCATGCGTCACCCCATGTCAGCTGATCAGATATGTTGGAATGGCCACTCAAAGTTCCCAGTACAGGTATTGATGTTTGATAATATTTCCATCCAGCGCGGTTTAGGATTACGAAGACAAATATTTCAGAACGAAGGTTTTGCAAGTATACTGGCATCTTAGTCAAAGCTGAAGAGTCGTTTTGTGTGTCGAAATGTTTTTGGGCGATTTTCTGTCCTGAAAAAAATTGAGATTGTCTTTGCTTGCATGTTTATTACTGAATCAAGGAAAGCGCGCTGAACCTTACCAGCTGATTTAACAATGCTGTTCAACAACTTGTCAACAGGATGTGTTCGCACTGCTTGTTCCCAGCTTGCTGACAAGTTGTCAACGGTTTGTTGAGCTCAACAGATTTGTTACAAGTTGTTCTAACAACTTGTTATCGTCCTGCAATTCAATAATTTCTCAACAAATTGTGACTGACAACCTGTAGCATCTTGATAAAATAACAGCATTGTTACAACTTGTTGACAAGTTGTGAGATTTTTATGTGGGTGTTCTAATCATCCTCTTTTACAGAGCTAAGCTAGTTTTAAGCTGAAGAGTAGTATTTTTTGCTTTATACAGTGTTCTATTTTACAAGTGCCTTGCATGGGACACTGGGAAAAAATGTGAAATCCATACTATATTTGCAATTGCACTAGTTAAACCCATAGTACTAGTATATCCATACCATTTCGATACTACATCCATAGTATATGGAAGTACTAATTATTATGGATAACCAAAATCCATTCTTTTTCTAATAAAGGTCCATACAATTTCCATTCTATGACCTTCTTTGGATTTTCAATTTTTTCCCAGTGGGATTTATCGTCTCGTTTACATCTTTCCTTTTGGGCTATAAGGCTATTGAATAGTTTATGATAGTGCCATACTGTGGTCCAATGAAGTTGTTACAAAAAATTACAACCCATCCCATTTATCGATGTAAAAAAATTTCAAACCTGTTGTCATATCAAAAGAGATAACATAATGTCCCCAATTGACAAACGTCTCGTTATACGTGTCATCAACAATTAACTGGCTGAGTCTACCAAGGTCTGTATAATTTTTTGTACCGTACGATATTGCCTTCACACTGAACACATTTTCCCCTGAAAATAGTTAAAAATGTAGGAATGAACAGTAAGGTAATTCATCAATCATAGCAAAAAATTTTGGTTGGGACTAGAGTTCAATTTCGAACAGCATTTCGCATCTAAGGAAAGGTCGAATATTTGAACCAACAGCAAGAACTGGAAATACAACCCATGCCAATTCTGAGGCGTTGAATTTTGAAATGAAAATATATAAGACTTTCGCAAGTCTTTCGTAACTTCTACTAGCCGTAGGATGTGATCGAACTTCATCCAGTCCTAAGACATGATCAAACATCCAGTCCTAGGGCTTGATCAAACTTTATCCAGACCTATAGGACTTGATAAAACTTCATCCAGTCCTATAGGACTTGATCAAACTTCATCCAGTCCTAGAACTTGATCAAACTTCATCCAGACTTATAGGACTTTATCAAACTTCATCCATTCCTAAAACTTGATCAAACTTCATCCAGTCCCATAGGACTTGATCAAACGTCATCCAGTCCTAGGACGTCATCCAGTCCTAGGATTCATTCAGTCCTAGGATTCATTCAGTCCTAGGATTCATTCAGTCCTAGGATTTAATCAAACTTCATTCAGTCCTACGATTTTCGTGATCAAAACGTCATGTAGTTCTAGGACTTGATCAAACTTCATCCAGTCCAAGGACTTATATAATTACTTCAGCAAGTCCTAAGATTTGTCAACAAGTCCTATGACTTGATATATAATAAGTTAACCAATTCCTAGTTGGGACTAGATTAAGATTCATCCAATCCTATGGACCGAGCCAAATGGCTGCTTCAGTGTCCTGGTCTCAAGTATCCTAGCAACAACTATTTACAGATCAGTGACTTACGGTGATATCCATAAACTTCCAGTTCACAGAAATTCAAAGTTCCTTCAGCTTCCGTGATAGATACAGTCACAAACCGTCCCAGTAAAGGCGGGCCACAGTTTACGGTGACTGTCCTGGCGCCACCGACGTGATCAGTATATGTTGGTCCACACTGACTGTTGCGTTTACCGCCGTCTGTTAAGTTTGCTCCAACACGAATGTCGAAATTTGCTAGATCTGTCCAACAACAATCAGCGCGGTTTGTAATGCGTATGGCTGTCACAAAGATTTCTCTTTCAAGATCAACTGCCCACCTTTAAAAGTTCGGCGGATGATAAAACAACTTAGAGTGGGGGAACTTTGAAAAGGGAGTTCTGGCATTTGAAAACGGAGTTCTGGCATTTGAAAAGGGTGTTCTGGCACTTGAAAACGGAGTTCTGGCATTTATAAAGGGAGTTCTGGCATTTGAAAAGGGTGTTCTGGCATTTGAAAACGGAGTTCTGGCATTTATAAAGGGAGTTCTGGCATTTGAAAAGGGAGTTTTGGCATTTGAAAACGGAGTTCTGGCATTTATAAAGGGAGTTCTGGCATTTGAAAAGGGTGTTCTGGCATTTGAAAACGGAGTTCTGGCATTTATAAAGGGAGTTCTGGCATTTGAAAAGGGTGTTCTGGCATTTGAAA